GTGATCACCAGACTAAGATTAGTTAAAATCCATCATCACACGGTTACACTTTTTTTCTCTCGTGATAAGAATTTTTCAAGATCTACTCTCTTAACAATTTTCAAATATACAATACAGTACTGTCAACTTCCTTGTGCCTGTCTAAGACTGAGTCTTTGCAGGCCCAGTTCTAAACATACTTTCCAGTCCCAGCACAAATGCCGCCTCTTATATGAAACCTCCTCTGGCATTTCCCTGCTAAATGCTTAGAGTTCTTTATTCCTCTGACATTTACTTTTAACCTATCATTATATTCTTTTATTGTTTTTTGTGTTGAGGACAGGGATGAGATCTCACTCATATATGATGTTCCTAAAACATCTTCTCATTACATGGTTCTCAATAAATGTATGGAATGAATTTACACCTCTTTGAATTCGTGTTGATAATTATGTTTTGAATTTACGTTGATAATTACTTTAAGAATTATATTGAAGATTACATACATAAAAACACATACTTTTGATTCGGTAGCACTTCATATATTACTTTTTAACTATAGAAGTTCCTCACAGATTTTTGTCTCCAAGCTAAACTATAAGAACCTGAACTATGCCATGCTTTCAGCTTTTTTATTAAACAAGAAAGCATCAAGCACCATGGTGTGCATAGTAAATGCTTGTTGAATAAATGAGTAAAAATAATGCAGCAGACAACAGCATTATAGCGACAAGGTGGCTTTGGGCTCAGGTGATGGCAAAACAACTTCTAAAATGATTTAAGGTAAACTGTGTATAATCTCTATCTTATAGTACAGTATAATTTTGGATAACTAAACTCTCCATCAAATTTCTTAGATGACTTTCAAAACTTGACACCTTCTCAAGGTTTTAACATTAAAGATTTCTAAATTCACTAAGTCAATGGTATACTGGATCAAGTAAACATTTTTACTATCTTAGTGTACATATTATAGCCATCACTGCCTTAATCATAAAACTACTGAGGTCAATTATTAAATTCATCAATAAAATTGGAGGCTTGGAATGGAAGCAGAAATCTAAATAACCATTTAGTATTTTATATATATTTATATATATTATATATATAATATGTATAATTTTTTTTTTACTAATCACAAAGGAAAATCGATTTTTTTTTCAGGAAAAATCATAGGAAATGGGAAGAAAGAGAAGAGTTAACACATCAGAGGGAGGTATGATATTTCAGCATGTTTTAACTTAGCATTTAAAATGATACTGAATACAGACATCCAAATGGCTTAATTCTATACTAAGTGTGGAAACATACCCTTCTAGTACCATGAAGACTTTCAGGTAGTGTTTTGGTGACTCTTCTTCCTTCACATGATGCCTTTATAGACAACTTTTAAAGAATACTTAATGATAACACTGAACACAAAGAACCAAGGAATTTGACTTTTACTCTTCGGCCAAGATCCCAGAAATCCACATGACCTACCAAACTGGAGGCAAAGGAAAAAGAATTTGGCTTTTTGATTATATAAATCCATTAATGTAGCCAAATTTCTACTAAAAAGTGGGCCTATTAGTTTTAAAAAAGTAACCTAGATCTAAAATAATATAAGAATCTACCTAGATTTCTCACTCATTTATTCAACAAATACATATTAAATGTCTACTGTGTGCCAGTTGCTGGGGTGACCATGATGAAGACAACTGACAAGAGTCTCTTTTTAAGAAGAATGACAGGCATTAAGTAATTGTATACAAATAATTTTATTACAGTTGTGAAGAAGTGCTATGTCCTTCTTAATCTATCAGTGACTTAATATGATGCTAGCTGAGGTACAGTAAGGAGAGGGAGTTATGTAACATGTAATGAGAACCTGTAACGGAACATCATGTCAAAGAGAACATCTGGGAAGAACTTGAGGTACCTCGAACTTTCTAAGAACTCAAAGAAAACGACAACACTGAGCAAGGGGGAAAGAAGGTTGAAATGAAGCTGGAGACGTAAGCTGAAACAGACTGACGAGCCTTTTAAGGAGCCAGGGGTGGGGAGCTTCACTCTAAACGGTGCACCAGATCACACAGAGCTTTGAAGGTCATATTAGGATTTTGGATTTAGGAGTTGGAAGAGAATTCGTGGTTAATAATTAGTTTAGGTCCTTCACTGGGATTAAAGCTGGGCCATAGGTAATTCAGTAAATTAGTTTCAGGAAGTGGCTTAAAGAATTCTTTTCAGACAAAAGATGAATAGTTTCAGGTTGTTTTGTTTTAAAAGTTGAGTATGTAATACATTTATTTATTGAGCACCACCTATGTACAACGTAATGCACTCCAAACATCACCCACTTTCCCCTGAAATCTAAACTGACAGGGAAAGGGGGAGAGTGACTAGAGCACAGCATAGACATGATTGGTAAAGGTCCTGTCTTAGAGCATTAATGCAGGTTTTTGAGAGCCTTGAGCAACTTTCCAGGAATATCCTCACTGCCCTCTCCACTTTGATAACTAACAAATTTCAATGTAGTTTCAAAGGAAGTTTTTAGGCCTACTCGTCCCTACCATTTTCAACCCCAGACTATAACTCCATGTGATGAGGCTGAACATTATCACTATAAATAGAATGTGGATGAGTACACAATCAGTATCCCAAATAAGATAATGGATATAAAGATCCAATAAGTATAAAATCTATCTTTTATTTAAAATGAGGCATATTCTGAAATACCACAAAGTCAAACCCTGAGAATAAGCTGATCCATAAAACTTGCTTTACAATGGAATTTAAGTAACTGCTCTGTAATTGAAAAAAACAACAAAAAAAACCCCAGCAAAGAGTACTTATAAATAATTGAAGGTGTCTACATTCACTTATTATTCTAAACTAAAAAAAAATTCATGTTTTTAAATATCATTTTGGAAAATCAGTCACTATGAACCAACACCTTAATATAAAAATAAAAGTATCAGAGAAACTAGGTAAAGGGTACACTGGATTCTTTGTACTATCACTGCAACTTCCTGTGAATCTAAAATTATTTAAAAAGCTTAAAAGAACATATTTGGGGTGTATTAGGGTGTATAAACAGAGACCAAATACATTGGCCTGAAAGAAGACTACTTATTTTGGTCAGTGTAGAATTTGGTGGTGGATTAAGAGAAAAAAGTTAAAATAATGAAATCTAGAAGAAAATTTTATAACAGAAGTAATGTAAAATTAAGAAAAAAGGATTTAAAGCATCAGGTTCAAATACCAGCTCTACCACCCACTAGCCAGGTGACCTTGGACACATTATCACTTAACCTCTCAAGAGTACTGTGAAAATCAAATGGGATATGTGAAAGTAAAGTTTGCAAACTGTAAAACCTTGTACAAATGCTAGCTATTATTGACTCAAATTTCCCAGCCTTAATTCCTTTTTGTAAAGGACCGTCTTCATTTTACATCAAATACTCTTTTAATAGAACAAGAATGCACTTTAAAAATGGTATTCAAACAAAGAAATACAGCAACTCAGTTTATTACATGCAGATTCTTCTGCATTGTTGCTAACAGTTCACTGGTCCAAAATTACTAAAATACTTAAAAAACTATACATTATGTAAACAAAACATAAATAAGACAGCATAGTTCTTTGTACATATAGTTTGGTACAGGTTGTTAGGGATTTAGGAATATGTACAATTTTACACCATGGACTGCATTTTCACAATGCATAAATATATATATATTTTTTACAGAAACAAAAATAAGATTTCACTAATGACACAGAATACCATATCATAGATACACGCTGCAAAAGTCCAAATTCAAGAAGAAATGTGGCAACGCAAGTGTGCAAAAGGCTAGCTTACTCCAAACTAATCAAACTTGACTTTGTTCAATTTATGTTATACAGACAGGTAAATCCTGACTGTCTATTTTAAACAAACAACCTTTGAAGATATACTCACACCAACGAGTGAAACAGAACAGATTTTTCCCTCCCCAAGAAAACAAAGCCTTGTTTCAAGCTAATGAAAAGATACATTAAAACACACACACACGCGCGCAACTATGTATAGTATGTTTTCAACAGTATAATAAACACTTAAAATTTTTATGGGAGTTGAAAGAATGCCCCATTATTTAAAAACTGGCTCTTTTAGTCTAAATTCAAGATGCAGCTGTGTCAGGCTTCTCTAAGCCAGATGACTGAAAAGCAGGGAAGACAGAGGCAGGATTTCGACTGGCAGATACAACAATTTGAGAGAGAGATGAAGAGAGTGAAGAAACCTTAGATGCTGGAGTATTTATGGTATTCAGAATGGCTCCTTCTGGGCTAACCAATAATTTTTTGACTGATGTGTCCAAATGAAATACTGAAGTGCTAGTTGGCAGTGGAGGATTACTAGAGCAAATGGCAGAAACCAAAGATGTCTTAGCCAAAAGAGTAGCTGGAGGAGACTTAATTACTGAAGTTAATGACACTGTTGGTGTAGGAGGTGGAAAAGAAACTTTAGCAGTTGTGTTTATGATCTGTGGTGTTGTATGTACTGTGGGTAGACAACTTGCATTCCCAAGAGAGTTTACAATTTTTGTAGAGTTTCTTAGAGAATGTTTTACAGGTTGCCCACTTAAAGAATTATTTGATGCTAGTGTGACCTTCTGGGTAGGGTTATCTACTGGTGTAGGCTGAATGCTTTGGCCACTGTTAAGAACTAAGGGGAGTCCGTATTTTGGATTAGCAGATATAAGGAGAACATGGCTGCCAGCTCCAAGACCTTGTGGTGGAACAATAAACCGGGTTCCATTAATCATGATCTGAGTACCAGGTGCCAAAGGTGTACTGGTGTTGATGACTATTTTTTGCTGAATACAAGGTTCACTAAACTGACCCCCTACCACACTAGTCACATTTGATGGTGCTGTAGCAGTGTGAATGGCAGAGCCACTTGGAGCAGAAGTATAACTGGGGGTTGATTTTACTAAAGCAGGAGACATTTGCTGGTTTGGTAGAGAAGCAAAATTGGAAATATTAATTATTTTACCTGGGCTTGGTGAAAGGGACGGCAATTCAGTTTGAGGTTTATTTGTATTTATATTTGTTGGCACTGTAGTTGAAATCCCTGGTGACTGAAACTGGACAGAAGTCCGAGACTGTCTTTTAGAAACAGATACAGAACGTGTGGCTCCTGGTACTGTTGCCACTTGTGGAACTGTGTTGATTATTTTAGGGGATACAGTCACAGGTGTAGGCAAGGCAACAGTAACAGGGATTTGCAAAGCTGATGTTAAACATTTTGGAGACACTGTTGGTTGTGTAGTTGAAATCAGAACAGATGACGCAAGATGTCCTGTTTTCACAGTTGATATAGCCACAGTGTTTCCGAGATTTGATGTGCAAAGTCTATTTGACAAAATAGGCATAATTCTTGAAGAGGTATCATTTCCACTGACTAAAACAGGAGGTCGTGTCCCAACTGAAGCAGAGGTTGAGGTCACTGAAAGAGAACCCAAAGATACATTTGCTCCTGTTACTGAAAACATGTTTACTGCTCTCGCTGTAGAAACCACTGATTCATTAACAGGAGTAATATTTTGACTCACAATATTTGAGCTTACTGGAATTGAATTACCACTTGTTGACAATGGCAAAACATAGCCCTTGGTACTTTTTTCTTCTCCTTTTGGGGTTACATTTTGCAATATGTTAATTGATGGTATAGCTGGCACACTGCCTGAAGTATTTACAATTGCTTGACCTATGTTTAGCCCAATTTTCACATCTTTTATCTGAGACACAGTTGGTGATGAATTTATTTTTATTGGTGCTCCCACTGTAGATGGAATCAGCACTATCTGAGGTTGCTCTGGAGTCTTAACATATGTTTTATTCAAGGGAGGAGGAAGAGTTTGTTTTAATGGTTCTGCCACAATAGTTGGGGTTGAAGCGCCACTGGGAATTGGAGCATTAATAAAAACTAACTTCTGGGCAGAAACACCTGTAGATGTTGGTGCAGGTGTCACATTAATTGCAGTTTCACTGCCAGAAGAAAGAACAGACGGAGCTGACACTAGCATAAGTTTCTGAACTGGAGTCCCACTGATCACATCTCCATTTGTTGCTGCTGTTGCTTCTGATCTTGTAACAGGGTAACTTTTTGTGATATAATCAACTTGTTGCTGTTTAGTGGGAGTATGAATAATATTTGCATTGGTTTGTCCAAAATTTCCTGTTGATATGCTAATTACACTTACTGAACTATTTACTGTTGATGTTAGTAGAGTGCTAGAAGAAACAGAGGACTTCAAAGGAGAAGAAAGGATGTGCGAAGTTTTATCTATCATGTGGCCCAAATTACCACTGCAGGCAGGCTGGCCTAATGTAAGTTTGAGATTTTTCCCCACAGATGGATTAAAGGCAGCTGGAATGGAAATAGAAGTGGGTGTGTGGCCAAAAGGTGGGAGACTAGATGTAGTAGTCGTTCCAGCTACTGGTGAAAAAGCAGAAGATGAAGAAGTTGTTGATTTTGGCAGCAGAAATGCCTGAAGCTGAGGAGCAAAAGTGAAAACTGAACCTGAAGATAAACTGTTGGGTGAATTTTGATCTGGATTGGTCTGTACTTTTACAACTCCAGTGTTTCCACCTCGTGTCCTAACAAGAATTGACTGTGAATCTCTTATACATACAGTTTTCAGCTCTTGCTTTGCTTCAGAACAATCAGAAGGTGGTTGTGCAAAACAGTTGAGGGAACTACCAGGATTTGTAGATCCACTTAGTGTCGTTGCTGATAAAACAGTCTGAACTGTTGAGGAAATGGTAGGTGAAGCAATGGGCTGGGGGAACGTGGCTGCTGAAACTGTATTCTTGACTTTTCCTGCTTCACTCTGGCTAGTCTTAACTGGTGGTGTTAATAAATTATTTATGGAAGTTACAGGAGACAAAGGCTGTGGTCTACCACTACTCACATTTGACAAAGGTGTAATCGTCTTGTTGAAAACTGTATTAGGTAGATGGGTAGAAACACTTCCTGTTGAATTGACAAGAACTGATGCTAAAGAAGAGTTCACATTTGCTGTCTGTGGGAAAGATGAACAACGTTGTTCTGTACCTTTTTGTTGAAGTGGTGGTATTTCTTTTGCAACTGCTTTTCCTTCCTTGTGCTGAATCACAAAATTCTTGGGCAGAATGAGAACCTGCTGCATGATTTTTTCTCCTGTTTTAGGATCCAGCACAGGTTGCATCTGAATCTTTACAGAGCTGTTATGAAGATCTATGGGCAACCACTGGCCACAGGGCATTTTGTATACCATCTGTAAAGGACCTTTTGTACTGGTGTGGCAGGTCAATGCTGGCTTTATGGGGCTTGCTTCTGGAGGAGATATAACTGGCTTTTCCACAGCAGGAGCACTTCTACCTGTGGAAGGAGGCAGTTGATTTGTTAAGGTCACTTTGTTCCCAATATTCTTTGCAAGCAAGGCCTGAATAGGTTTGGTCCCTTTCTGGAGAGTAGACACTGGTGTTGATTCCACTGAGGCAAATGACTCTGGAAACAGTGGCTCTGCATGCTTTGATTCATTCAAACAGTCAATCTGCAAATTTCCATCTACATTCTCAACTGTTGTCTCAGTTGTGCTTAACTTTGCTTTCTTTCTTGGGGAAAGCTCTTTTGTGCTATCATCCAGATAACTAGTTTGTTTGGACTGTCGTTTAAGGGTTTTAGGCAGTGTCTTCGGTCCATCTTTAGAAGGCAATTCCTTTTTCAACAACTTGCTTCTGGCCATAGGAAAATCTATTTCTGACAATTTCATATCATCTGGAAAAAAACCAAGCATTCTGTTTATATAAAACAGCAACTGAATAGCAATAATAAAACCAATTATAAAAAAGAAAGTCAATCTTTGAACTGACAATTTATTAAGAAATCTACTACACGGTGATTCAAGTCTCAGCGCTACTGACGAAAATTAAGGTAAGGTGACCTGTGACATGGTAATGTTGATATCATAGTCCCCAAAACAACCTATTTTGAGAAAATTATTTTTGGTCAAATTCTGCTAATTCTGCTGCCAATACAAGTGCAAAAGGAAATTTTACATCTTTTAAAGAGATACTCAAGCCAGCAATTAGGGCTCAGAATTTAGATCTGGAAAGGAACCTAGTCTAGTTCTCTTCTTCTAGATAGAGAAATCTTGATATCAAAGAGAGATGGTTCTCTGTTCTAATCTATTTTTAGAAACTGTAAAGTATGAAAAATGTTCAGCTTTTTCTGGCGTTTAATTATTCCTACAGTAAAAAATTTATGTTTGGGTCTGGCCCCATGGCCGAATGGTTAAGTTTGCGTGCTCCGCTTCAGTGGCCCAGGGTTTCACCGGTTCGGATCCTGGGGGCGGACATGGCACCACTCATCAGGTCACACTGAGGCAGCGTCCCACATAGAACAACCAGAGGCATTCACAACCAGAATATACAACTACATACTGAGGGGACTTGGGCAGAAGAAGAAGAAGAAAAAAGAAGACTGGCAAGAGATGTTAGCTCAGGTGCCAATGTTTAAAAAAAATTTATGTTCATATCTGGTCAAACTGTGTTGATGAGAAATTATTCTTTTTCAATTCACCAAAGACATGGAAAAGAATGGGTTAATACGTTTCTAACTACAAATTTGCATACTAACCTCTTTCATGACTAAAGGAAGCTATTTAACTAGATTTACAGAATAATATAATCTGATGAGTTGAAATGAATTACAGATAATCTAATCCAGCCTCCTGATCAGAATGATGTCTCTGGTCTCATTAGGCCATCAACCTTTGTCATTCCTCACAAAAAAATCTTCACAGTGTTAGGGACTTGCCGAGTTCCATCTAAAGCAAATGTCAGAAATAGTGCTTCAAAAATAGCAATAATAAAAAGAAGAGGATGAACCTATTTCAAAGGAATTGTAGATCAAGGATGTGTGGTCTGTAATGAGCAATGATATACCTATTGTCTGGAGTCAGGCATTGGCTCCAGGAACTCCTAGAAATGTAATAATGACTCCAAAGAACCTTTTATAAGGATATAGTACACCTTCAAAACATACCAGCTTTCCCCAATCAATATACTTCATTAACCAGATTATCCTTTATTTCCACAAAAGATACTAAAACGTCTCTTTGTGCTTTTAGTGTTGATTTGAAGAAAGTTTTAAAGCCTACCTGAATCAAAGTGATCTTTCTCCAGGATATCTAGAGATTCCGTTGAGTCTATAGACTTACTGAATTCTACTTTAGGAGATTCTTTTCCAGGATCTCCTTCACCTTCTTCAGTAGTCCATAGTTCTCTAGTAAATTTATCATGATCAGGCTGTCTTCTGAAATCATCATAGTCTCTCTTTAGGCGGCTCCTGAAATAAAATAAAATGCCCGACATAACAAACAAATATATGTCTTTTAAAGTACTGGAAGCTAAACTAACTTTTAACGTTTTAAACAATATATTGAAATATTTTCAATTCTGTCAGTGAAAACTATGTTTTAATCTCAAGTGTGTCTAAGATGCTTAGTTTGGTCTTGACAATGATTATCACTCAAGAAGACAAAACCCAGGGTGCAGGCATAAGAAACTGAAGAGATTATACCTGCAATTTCAGAATAAAGTACTTCAACATACCACCCATTTGTCTTTCTAAAGGCTGCTATTAGACCTATTAAATGAGAGAAAGATTATTTTTTTTCTAGCTGCATTGACAGAAATAGATTTGAGATAGCCTTAAAATTACTGATTATAATATAGTTAAAAGGTTGTTTAAAAAAGTTAATCAAGAAATTCTAAGAAACAGCATCATTTTCAACTATTATCCGGAGTAAAACAAAAAAACCTATCGTTTAATCCTGAGAGTAATCATATCTAAACTTTTGAGTCTCACTAGAAATATATTTTTAATAAGCATAAGGAAACATAGCTGAAAAGTGATCTTTCAGAGATTCTTTTCACATAAAAACATAATAGCTGTGTTTCTATGAACCTGTGGAGATATGGACACAATTCCAAATGATTACATGATATTTTAGAGATCCTTTATTATTCCTTTCGCTTTCAACTGAGTTGCTCTATTCTACACTCAACTTTATCCTTAGTTTACTTTTTGTTTGTTTTAAAAAAGAAAATCTGAACATATATCCTCCAATTTATTTTTGCTACAAATTCTTATTTGTGTATGTTGGAGTTTAAGTCTCCCCTCAGTCACCTAACAGTTCTAAGACTTTGGGCAAGTTCCATAAACTTTCTAAGCATCAATTTACTTTTTTGTAAAATGGGGATAATAATACTACTTACCTCATAGTATGTGTGGCACACAAATATTCGAGAAATGTTAGTTAATAATGACTCTCAATTTATTTATGTTTCATATTATTGCTTAAGGGTTTTATGGAGCAGATGAAGGCTGTAAGATACTAGAATGGATTCCTAAAGGATAACCATAAAATTAATTTCCTTTTAGAAATACCTTCGTGGGGGTAGTATGAAGTTCCTTCCTTTTTAGTCTCAGCTAATGACTTTGCTTCTTATTTCAGGGGAGCTGGAAGCAATCAGACAAGAATTTTGACATGCTCACACCTCATCTGCATCTTAAGACCTTCATTTGTACTCATATTTTCCGTCTTCCTATCTAAGCTAACCCCTCCACTTATGCATCCTCTCTCACCTATTCAAGGATATCACTCTACCAAATGCCCCTTCTTTGCCTGAGTCCATTTCTCCCTATTAGATAATTTCTACCAGTATACAAACATATTTCTCCCATTAACAAAAACAAACAACAAAAAACAAAGCACCTTCTGTTGACTCTAACTTGTCCTTCCAAGTACTGCCCTATTTCTCTGCTCCACTTTATATAGCAAAACTTCAATTCCTCTCCCCTAGTTCTCTTGAACAGACTCCTAAAACTTTCACCCACTTCTCTACCAATACAGCTCATCAAGGTCATCAATGATCTCCATGTTGCCAAATTCCATAATGAATTCTCAAACCTCACCTTCCTCAGTCCATCATGAGCAGCCCTCCTTTTTGAAACGCTTTCTTTACCTGGTTTCCAAGACACTACTCTTTCTCTTGGTTATCCTATCTTACTGAACACTCCTTCTCAGTCTCTTCTGCTGAGTCCTACTCATCTCTACCATCTCTAAATGTTGGAATGCTCCAGGTTCAGTCTCTCTTATTCTCGATTTATGCTCACATACTAAGTGATTTCTACCAGTCTCACAGCTTAAATATAATCCATATCCTGACAAAATATATACCTCCAACCTAGCTCACTCCTTGAACTGGGACTCATACTCTAAACTGCCTACTCAATAATTCCAATTAGATGTCTAAAAAGCATATCAAACTTAACATGTTGATTTATCAGACAAGGGGTTGATCTCCAAAGTATATAAAGAACTCACACAACTCAACAACAACAAAAAAACAAACAACCTGATCAAAAAATGGGCAGAAGATATGAACAGACATTTTTCCAAGGAAGATATACAGATGGCCAACAGACACATGAAAAGACACTCAACATCACTAATTATTAGGGAAATGCAAATCAAAACTACAATGAGATATCACCTTACACCGGTCAGAATGGCTATAATTACCAAGACAAAAAACAGCAAATGTTGGAGAGGATGTGGCAAAAAGGGAACACTCATACACTGCTGGTGGGAATGCAAACTGATGCAGCCACTATGGAAAACAGGATGGAGATTCCTCAAAAAACTAAAAATAGGACTACCATATAACCCAGCTATCCCATTATTGGGTATCTACCCAAAAAACTTGAAATCAACAATCCAAAGTAATATATGTACCCCTATGTTCATTGCAGCACTATTCATAATAGCCAAGACATGGAAACAATCCAAGTGCCCATCGACTGAAGATTGGATAAAGAAGATGTGGTATATATATATATATGAAATGGAACACTATTCAGCCGTAAAAAAAGACAAATTCATCCCATTTGCAACAACATGGATGGATCTGGAGGGTATTATGCTAAGCAAAATAAGCCAGAGTGAGAAAGACAAAGACCATATGATTTCACTCATGTGTGGAATATAAACAAACGCATGGACAAAGAAAATAGTTCAGTGGTTATCAGGGCGAGGGAGGTGGGGGGTTGGCACAGGGGGTGAAGGGGAGCACTTTCATGGTGACAGACAAGAAATATGTACAACTGAAATTTTACAACGATGTAAACTATTATGAACTCAATAAAAAAGAAAAGAAAGGCAGACAAATGTTAGAATGGGGAAAAAATGGAATCCTTATGTATTGCTGTTGAGAATGAAAAATGGGGCAGGTACTTTGGAAAAGAGTTTGGCAGCACCTCACAAGGTTAAACATAGAGTTACACTTTGACCTAGAAATTCCACTCCGAGGTATATACTCTTAAGAAATGAAAAGATATATCCACCCAAAACTTTACACAAATGTTCATAGCAGTATTTATGAGGGACAAAAACTGGAAACAGTCCAAATGTCCTCCATTGGTGAATGGATAAATAAAATGTGGTTTGTACTTACAATGGAATATTTTTTGGCTTATTGAATGAATGAAGGAATGAAGTTCCGATACTGATTCAACAAGGATGAACTTTGAAAACATACTAAGTGAAAGAAACTATTCACAAAAGAACACATATTGTATGATTCCATCTTGATGACATTTCCAAACTGGCAAATCTATGGAGCTAAAGTTTAGGACTGGGGAGTTGTGGTGCATGGTGACGTCTGCTAATGGGTACAGAGTTTTTCTCTGGGGTGATAAAAATGTTCTAAAATTAGACTGTGGTGATTGGTGCAACTGTGAATGTACTAAACACCACTGTACATTTTAAATGGGTGAATTGTATGGTATGTGAATTATTTCTCAATAAATCTGTTTAAAACAAACAAAAAACTCAACATGTTGAAATCCAAACTCTTGGATCCCCACTCCTCCCCAAACCTGCTACTCCTTTGATTTCCTCTATCTCAGCTAATGGCAATTCCATTATTCCAGTTGCGTAAACGAAAAATACTAGGCATCACCTTTTTACTCCTCATTTTTTCTGACACTCCATATCCCAATCTTAAGCAAATTCTATTAATCCTACTTTCAAGATATATCCAGAATCCAACCACTGGTTGACATCTGCACTGCTACTATCCTGGTCCAAGCCACTATCATTTTTCGCCTGGATTGCTGCTACAATGCAACTGATTTCCTTGCTTTCATCTTTGTTCCACTACACTAACCTAACATTGCAGGTAGAGTGAATGCTTTAAAACATAAGTCAGATCATGTCCCTCCTCTGCTTAAAACTTGAAATGGCTTCTCATTTCAGTCAGAATTAAAACCAAAATCCTTAAAGACCTACATGATCTGACTACCTTTCTCTATAATTCTCTGACTCTTGACTCCTACCACTTTCCTCCTCATTTACTCAGCTCTGGTTACACCTGCCCCTTTGCATTTCCTCTAAATGCCAAACATACTTCCAACCTTAGAGCTTCTGCATCTTCTCTCAGATATCCATATGCATCTCTCCCTCATTTCCTTCAGGTGTCTGTTCAAACATCAACTCAATAGGGAAGCTTTACCCAACACCCTGGTAAAAGAGCAAGCATTATCCTGTCCAAACCAGGTATTTCCTATTCCCCTTACCCTGCTTTACTTTTATTCACAGCACTTATCACCAACTGACATTTGAGTTTCACTGTTTATTCCGTTAGAATGTAAGCCACAGATGAAGTTAGAAATCAATAATAGAAAGAAAACTGGAGGGCCGGCCCCGTGGCCGAGTGGTTAAGTTCGTGTGCTCCCCTTTGGCAGCCCGGGGTTTTGCTGGTTTGGATCCTGGGTACGGACATGGCACCGCTCATCAGGCCATGCTGAGGCGGCACCCCACATGTCACAACTAGAAGGACCCACAACTAAAATATACAACTATGTACTGGGGGGACTTGGGGAGAAAAAGCAGGAAAAAAAAAAAAGAAAGAAAACTGGAAAATTCACAAATTTGTGGAAATTAAACAACACACTCTTAAATAACCAATGAATCAAAGAAGAAATCATATGAGAAATTGGAAAATACTTATAGAGGAATGGAAATGATAACATAGTAAAACTTATGGGACACAATGAAAGCAGTGCTAAGGGGGAAATTTATAGCTATAAGTGCTTACATTAAAAAACAAGAAAGATATCAAATCAACAACCCAACTTTATAACTTGAGGAATTAGAAAAAGAACAAACTAAACCCAAGGCTAGCAGAAGGAAGGAAATAATAAAGATTAGACCAGAGATAAACAAAATAGAAAATAAAAAAATAGAGAAAAATCAATGAAACCAAAAGTTCATTCTTTGAAAGAATCAACAAAATTGACAAACTTTTAGCTAGATGGACTAAGAAAAAAAGAGAAGACTCAAATTACTGAACTCAGAAATGAAAGTGGGGTTATTACTATGGATTCTACAGAAATTAAAAAGATTATAAGAATACTATAAACAATTGTAAGGAAACAAACTGAATAACCTAGATGAAATGGACAAATTCCTAGAAACACAAAACCTGCCAAGACTAAATCATGAAGAAATAGACATCTGAACAGAATTATAACTAGTAAAGAGAATGAATTAGTATTCAAAAAAGTCTCTTGATAAAGAAAAGCTCTAGACCTGATAGCTTCACTGGTGAATTCTACCAAACATTTAAAGAAGAACTAACACTAATCTTTTTCAAATTTCTCTAAAAAACTGGAAAGGAGGAAACACTTCCTAACTTATTCTCTTGAGGCCAGTATTACCCTGATGCCAAAACCCGACAAACACTATAAGAAAAGAACACTACAGACCAATATCTCTTATAAACACTGATATAAAAATTCTCAACAAAATAAAGGCAAATTCAATTCAGCAGCATATAAAAGGATCATACACCATGGACAAATGGGATTTATTCCTGGAATGCAAGGATAGTTCAGCATATGAAAATTGATCAACAGAATGAAGGAAAGAAACCACACGTTCATGTCAACTGTCCCAGAAAAAGCATCTGACAAAATTCAATATCCTTTCATGATAAAAACACTCAACAAACTAGAAATAGGAGGAAACTACTTCAATGTAAGAAAAACCATACATGAAAAACACACAGCAAACATCATACTCAATGGTGAAAACTTTTTCTGTAAGATCAGGAACAAGGCAAGGATTCTCATTTTTGCTATTTCTATTCAACACAGTACTGGAAGTTCTAGCCAGAGCAATTAGGCACGAAAAGGAAATAAAAGGCATTCAAATGGAAAGGAAGAAGTAAAACTACTCTGTTCACAGATGATATGATCTTTTATGTAGAAAACCCTAGAGTCCACCAAAAACTTGTTAGAATTAATAAATGAATTCAGCAAAGTAGCAGGAGACAAAGTCAACACAAAAAAATCAGTTGCATTTCTATATATTAACAATGATCAATCTGAAAAGGAAATTAACAAGACAATTCCATTTATAATAGCATAAAAAAGAATAAAATACTTAGGAATTAATCAAAGATGTGAAAGACTTGCACAATGAAAACTAGAAAACATTGGAGAAAAAAATTAAAGAAGACATAAATGTAAACACATCCCATGTCATGGATTGTAAGACTTAATATATATTATATATATTATTATATATTTATATATTATATATTTATATAATTATATAACATATATATAGTCTTACAATCCATGCACATTATATATATTATATATATTTATATATTTATATAATATATATTATATATTTTATATATATATATGGTTTTTGGTGAGGAAGATTGGTCCTGAGCAACATCTGTTGCCAAACTTCTTTTTGCTTGAGGAAGATTGTCACTGAGCTAACATCTGTGCCAATCTTCCTCTATTTTGTATGTGGGATGCCACCACAGCATGGCTTAATGAGCAGCGTGTAGGTCTGCACCCAGGATCAGAACCCACAAACCCCAGGCTGCCAGACCACAGCACACAAACTTAACCACTATGCTACCAGGTCAGCCCCCAAGACTTAATCTTTTTAAGACCAACTGATACTAATCAAAGCAAATTTACAGATTCAATGGAATCCCTACTAAAATTGCAATGATGTTTGTTCCAGAAATTGAAAAAAACTCATCCTAAAATTCATATGGAATCTCAAGGGACCCCAAATAGCCAAAGCAATCCTGAAAAAGAAAAACAAAGCTGGGGTACTCACACTTCCTGATTTAAAAACTTACTGCAAAGTTCCAGTAATCAAAACAGTGTGGTATTGGCAGCAAAACAGACATACAGACCAATGGAACTGAACAGAGAGTCCAGAAATAAACCCTCTTGGATATGGTCAAATGATTTTGTTATAAGGATGCCAAGACCATTCAATGAGGAGAAGACAGTCTTTTCAACAACTGGTGCTGGGAAAACTGGATATCCACGTGCAAAAGAATGGTGTTAGATCTTTACCTAACACACTATATAAAAGTTAACTCAAAATGGATCAAAGACCTAAATGTAAGAGCTAAAACTCTTCTCAGAAGGAAACATAGGGCAAAAGCTTCAAGACACTGAATTTGGCAATGATTTCTTGGATATGACCCTAAAGGCATAGGCAACAAAAGAAAAAAATAGACAAGTTGGACTTGATGAAAATTTAAAAATTTTGTGCATTAAAGGTACTATCAACAAAGTAAAAAGGTAACTTACAGAATGGGAGGAAATATTTGCAAATCATATATCTGATAAGCGATTAACAGCCAGAATATATAGAGAACTCCTAAAACTCAACAACAAAAAACCAAACAAGCTGATTCAAAAATGGGCAAAGGACTTGAACAGACATTTCTCCAAAGATATACAAATGACCAATAAGCACATGAAAAGATACTCAATGTCACTAACCATTAGGGAAATACAAATCAAAAGTAAAATGATATACCACCTCAAATTCATTAGGATGGCTACTATCAAAAAACCAGAAAATAACAAATGTTGGTGAGGATGAGGAGAAACGGAAACCTTGTGCACTGCTGGTGGGAATGCAAAATTGTACAGTCACTGTGGAAAACAGTGTGGTGGTTTCTCAAAAAGTTAAAAATAGAATTACCATATGATCCAGCAATTCCATTTCTGGGTATAAACCCCAAAGAAGTGAAAGCAGAGTCTTGAAGAGATATCTGTACTAGGTTTATAGCAGCATTATTCATAATAGCTAAAACTTAGAAACAACATAAGGGTCAACCTACAGATGAATGGATAAGCAAAATGTGGTACGTGTATACAATGGAATATTATTCAGCCTTAAAAAGGAAGGAAATTCTGACATATGCTGCAACATAGATGAACTTTGAGAACATTATGCTAAGTGAAATAAGCCACAAAAAGACAAATATTGTATATTACATGAGGTACTTAGGGTAGTCAAAATCATAGAGACAGAAAGTAGAACGGTGGTTGCCAGGGGCTAAGGGGAGGGGGGAATGCGGAGTTATCATTTAATAGGTATAGAGTTTCAGTTTTACAAGATGAAAAGGGTTCTGGAGATGGATGGGGTAATAACACAACATTATAAATGTATTTAATACCACTGAACCGTACACTTAAAACTGGTGAAGATGATAAATTTTATTTGTGCATTTTACAAGGGAAAAAAATCAGGAGAAAAAAAGAATGTAAGCCACAGAGTAGGGGTTTTGTTTAATCAATACTACTTTTTAAGGGCTTAGGAAGCAACTTGCACACAGTGGGCACTCAAAAATATCTGTTGATTTACGAATCAATGGAAAACTACTAAATGATTCCAGGACATCATCCCATAATCATAAATTAAGAGCACTAAAATAAGTAAAATAGATTATAAAGCTGGAATTACCTGTTTCTTTGAAAAGCTTTCATTAATTTTGGTTCCCATGGCAGTAATTCATTTAAAAGACGTATCAATGTACTATGCAATTCTTTTACAGCTTGCCTCCGATGATACCATTTGCCCTAAAAACACAATTTTAAAAGTAAATTCCTTAGAGTTCATCTAAAAGTGAATTTTATTTACTCAGAAACTTATTTTCTGAGTTAAAAAACAAAACACCAATACCAGTCAAATAAGCATCTCTTCTTCAGAAGGCTGCAGAAAGGGGGGAAATATCCTGTAGTAAGTCTTATTTGATATATTTTAAAGATTCTCAATTCTATAGGAGAAATCTAAAACCCATTAATCAAACTAGGACAAGAAAGTTTTTAAAAGTTTTTAATTGAATTCATTGTAAATATTTTAATAAATCATTTACTAAATAAACATAAAGATACATTTATATAAACTCATTAAATATGTAAATGATAAGGCTCACTTCTGTAAAGTTTCTGTAATTTTCACAAACAGTGGGGAAAAAAAGAGAGAATAGGCTTGTTACCATATCCAAAAGCAGTCTTCTTAACAAACTTCCTTGGGAAATTTTACAATTATTTTATTTAAAAGTGTTTCCAGCACAGAAAAGCAAACAAGCAGTCACTATTTTCAATACTATAATGCTACACTAAGAGTTAATAATTAGTGACACCCCCTCCATTTGCTAAGTATTATCCTAAGTATTTCATGTATACATACAAACGCACACACACACACACACACACACACACACAGAAAGGGAGAGAGAGAAAAAGGAAGGGAGAAGGAGGGGGAGGAAGGGAGGAGTCAAGTGAGCATGAGAGTACACAAGCACTCTAGCAGTAATGAAAACCCTTCTGAGTGTGTGCATTTTTAGTCTTTCTTAACAAATGATGAAACTAAGGCTCAGAGAGATTAAATAGCTGGTTTAAGGTCTTATGACTTGAACATAGATCTGCCTGATGCTGAAGTCCAACTTCTTAGAACTACATCAATACCTCTTAAAAACTGTATCACATAAATTCAATTTGACCCAGATCATAAAAACCTCTAGTAAACATACACTTCACCAGTACCCATAAAATTATTCGAATAACTTAAGAACAAGAAGTTTACAGAAGTTATATCTCTAGGTAGTCAACTCTTTTTCTTCACAATGTTAGTGTACACCTATCACCAATACCATCATCATCATCATTTACTGTTATATAACCATGTTGTATTTCTTTCTTTTTTTTTGGGTAATAGCTTTGAGATAAAATTCATATACCATCCAGTCCACTCATTTTATTTCATTTATAACAAAAGACACATAACTATATATGTCATGGGTCACATTTAACATGCATAAAATTAGACTTCATCCCATAGCAACAGTTAAGTGAGTCAATCTGCCCATATGTAGAATATTAAAGCAGAAAAAGTACCACTCTTCAGAGTAAAACATATCCTAAATCTGTGCAAAAATTTCCCAATTTTATATCTATCTAAAACCTTCAACATTTCAGTTACAGAAATGTTAGTTACATATAAACCTAACTGATTAATAGCATAGTTCCTACTCCCCCAAAATTTTGTGCTTTAAACCAACAGAATGTTTATGAATGTAAAAATAAACACCTACATTTCTACCTCTAAGGTTTTTATATCTTGGAAGGGGAACTGTTTACTAGAACAGTAGGAAGATGTGGGATTATACTTGCATGTGCACATAAATATGGAACCTAGGCTCACCGACTAATTCTTGTGTTTTCTTAGTGGCATGACAAATCATAGTTTTGTGGAAAAAATTTCAAGAAAAATAATTTTCATTTTATATAATATACTAACCCAGATGGACCTTCCCTCTTTTCAAATGCTTTTTGAAAGGACCCAACTTACAATGAGTTATAATTTAAAAGTTTTTCTCACAGAAATGTTAAGAGATAGTATAAACTGCTTATTTCAACCCACGAAAACAAAACTATTAAATGATAAACAATAAAGCTGAACAAGAAATAACTTTCTTCTCAGGAAAACTAACCAAAGATGAAGAAAAGGCAGATGATAGCTACCCTAAATCCTTTGGGGAGTGAAGTAGGATTTTGTTGTAATAAAAAATAGAAAATATGTATATGGAGATTTTTCCTGTTAAGGCATGTCAACTTTATTTTTCTACTTCTCAATTACTATTTGGCTCAAAAATTAAATAGTAAGAGTAGAAGTAAAGTTTTCCTAAGCTAAAGAGAGCATAACGGGGAAAGGTACGAGGAATGACGGTGGGGAGACTATCCTCTTTGTGGTATAATTAATTGGAAAAGTGTTAAAAGACTAGGGAGCTACACTGAATTTCTTATAACTGGGGATTATATAGGGAAGAATGGCAGATGCAGAGTTAACATGGGCAGTATGGTTGCTGTCTGGATTAGTGTGGTGGTGATGGGGTGGGGAATGCAGAGGACTAGTAGTATCATGGAGCCTTAGGACTAGGTAAATGAGGCACAGGAAGGAGAGACTGTGTAGTTGGATGTTGTTATTTCAAGACATTTTTCAGTTGTGTTTGTGTGTCTACTAAATTACAACATTAATTTTGACAGAAAAGAGTTTTAAAAAGATTTTACCTTTTGATTTTATTTTGGTTACTAAATTTTAATTAATCCAGTGCTCAGAAAACATACTACTGAACTAGCTGACTGTACACAGGGAAGAGGTCATAAATATTAATCAGAGAATAGATTTCTAACTTTCACACAATTCTGTCTTACCCACTAATCTGTGTGGAAATGTCTACGGCCTTCTAACTTTATGGTTTTGGCCTTCTTCCCTTTCTTTACATTGTGTATTCTCAACTTGGGGTGGTGATGGTATGGTACTTCACTTTTATTTGAAAATGCATATTTAATCATTCTGTATTTGGAAAACAAAAAGTCTATTATTTTCATAATACAAATTATGGAAAATAAAGACTGATAAAATGTTTTGACTAGAAGATACATATAAAGAATACAATGACCTTGACAAAGGGCATCCCTGTAACTCTGCCGTGGGCTATGTGTATCTAGTTATTCTGTTGATCAAAAGGGAGCATGGGTTTAAGAAAGTTCACAATCACTGCTCTGGGACTGGTATTTGAGGCAAGGTGCTTTAACCACTTGACAGTAAAAGAGAAACTCACACTGCTCGTTTCATTTATCATCTTCTCTGGTCAATATAGCAAATGGAATTAAAATGACATGTCTCTTCCTACTTAAGTGTTGGTCTCAGAGTGTCACAGTATACAATGGAACTAATGTAAATAGAAGAAAAGTTATAAACTTTTAAAAGAAGTTAGTCAGAGATGGTAACAATCTGCCTTAACTTGGGGCTAACATAAAAATCTATTTAAAATCAAACAAATATTTCCTGAACTTTAAATCAGGTCACTAACTGAAAGCTAGCAATAGCTTTTCTAACTGATTAGCTTTTACATATACAGATAAAGGAAAAACTAAGAACAAATATTATGTTTCTTCTAGGATGAAATTATGAAAGCTAAACATGAACTCAGAGGACATAATTTTATAGAGGGAAACTGGCTAAAGTAACACAGGGAAGTACTTGCAGATAGAAGTAGACTTTAGTCTAAAATGCTAAAATCCACTGTCCTTACACTACACAATGCTCTTTCTCTTGGCCTACACACAGACAATTCCCAAAGAAGAAAGTGACTGTATTGCGTAAGTACCCATATTTACATGCAGGTATCTGTGTAATGCAAAAATGAAAATTTCCAAAATGTATTTTGTTTAATTATAATAATTATAGTGATCTAAGGTTTAAAAGTGAATTAAAAAGCAAGAAACACAGCAAGTTCACCTATCTTCAAACACATAAGAGAGAACATGGATGTAGGAAGAATCAGAAAGGCTCTTACAATTTTTATCTGCACCGAACAATACAGAATCAAAGATAAAGATGGTAGGTAGAAGGATTAGTAAAAGGTCATCTATAATTGTTTCTCTAATAAGAAATATATTTAATAAGCTTTATATATATAAATTTAGTCCTGACTTTTCTTTATAAACAGGTATGTGAATATTGGCATAATGAACTGTTTTCAATATTAGAATTCTATTTTCAGGGGTAAAAAGTTATTTTCTAAAATAATCTCACTGTGTTATGCGAACTTAATAATTCAAACATTTACTGAAGGTCCCTTTAAAAAAGAAGAGCATAATATTTTTCTTCTATGAATTTACTATACAGTTTAATATAAAGTATGAATTTCAAGCATCTACCATGGAACCAAAAGCATACAGTATGGTTTAAATTTGAAGCTTACCTCAATACGTTCTCATCCAATGTCCACAGCAGCTGCAGATTGCCAGCTCCCTTTCCATGAGATGCCCCAACTGTCAAATAGCAGAGGTTTTTATAACCTCATAGGGATTACTACAAAAAGGAGCTGGTCTGTGGTCACAAGTCCTTTATTATATTATGCAGTTTTGTGAGTTTTTGAATGTGATATCCAAGGAACCATATGGGAAAAGAAACTTCAAAAAAACTTACAAAACTACACAATATTATAAAATGAAAAGTTGAATCTATGTTTGTGAAATGATTGGGGACAGAAACTTACCTTACAACTAAAGAACAACTCCATTCTGCTGTAATAATCTGGGATGGGTAGGACAGCACCAGCATAACACTGGTTGGGGTGTTGCAAAGAGAGGGAGTTGGCAATCTACTGATGCTGAGGACACTGGACACCTAAAAGGAAGAAAAAGTGGAAAATAAATAAATTCCAGATTTATTAAATGTCTCATCATCATGGACATATTTTGCACATTTTAATAAATTTAGGTATTTTTACCTAAGTTTAACATTTAAAGTGACTTGTGTACACACACCATACTGTTATTTATATAGATTTTCTTGTAACATTCCATCTAAACAGTTATATGATGAAAAAATTAAAATCATAAATATACAAAGAATGTTTTAAATTGAGAGGATATATTGTGGAGATAACATTTTTATTAAAAAGAACAATACAAAAATAGGATGCATATAATGCAAGTATCAATGCTATTTTTCTATATGCTTTTACTTATAAACATGTTGTTAAAGCACAGAAACATGAGTCATA